ACTTTTGTTCTTTGGATGCCGCAAGAGCAACGAGGACTTCATTTACAAGGATGAATTCAAGGTATGAACAACAAAGCCCTCACACTTCAAATACGAACCTTTAGACTGACATAATTCCCTCAGACCTATCAAGACCAAATGGGTGACTCCCTGAAGGTTATTACTGCCTTCTCCCGCGAGGGATCCGAGAAGGTTTACGTCCAGCACCGTCTGAAGGAGAACGCCGAGCTCGTCAGCGAGCTGCTCAAGCAAAAGGCCAACTTCTACGTCTGCGGTGATGCTGCTAACATGGCCCGTGAGGTCAACCTGGTTCTTGGCCACATTATTGCCCAGCAACGGGGTTTGCCCGCTGAGAAGGGGGAGGAGATGGTCAAGCATATGCGTAGCAGCGGCAGCTACCAGGAGGACGTCTGGTCATGATTTCATGATTGATGAACACTTCTTTGCATTTGGAAAATACTTAGATGATCGTGACTATATATTATCATTTTTTGTTCGATACGATACGCCTTTTTGTTTCATTTGCGCTGCATGTTTCCCTAGCATGGGCTTCACCTTTGATGACCTTAAGTTTGCTAGCTATGGGCTGCCGTCTGGGCGGGGGTTTGGACCTGTGAATTTAAAAAGAATTTAATTCTTCTTCTTTCAAAGTGGAAGCCTGTATATTCATGTGTATAACTATCTATTCAAATTGGAACTATAAACGCCCGTATGGATGCTTTCGGCTGTAAGCGCGGACTTTAGACGTCATTTGTACGGGAACCTCGACTTCTCTCATATCTTCCCCCACACCGACCGAGCAATCCCTGCCTCAACAAGAGTTGATTTAGAGATATGTGCAGCTCATAATTCAGCGCCATCAGCCTTCGCCATATCAATCCCCTGTACCTCTTACTCTCGGACATATTCCATCCCCGCAGGGTGGTGCGACAAACCTCAAGCCCAACCAGCTCCGCGCTGTCCGATACCGCGGACTATTGAACTACGATGGCCTATGTCGTACCCATCCACCGGGCAAGCAGCATTCGCCATGCGGTCAAGCTCAACTTTTTCTCTCCGGACGAAGAGTGCCTAGTCGCAGCGTGAGTCCCACCCTCCCGCGAAGCCATGGAACTCAAGCCGACCTCTCCCCCGGTGACGATGAAGACAAAAGCTAACCCTCTTATGACCCCACAGAAAATCCAGTCGTCTCGAATTCTATACACTCACTCCGGATGGAATCGTCTTGACCGCGACTCGTGCTCTGAATGCGCGGGTTACTATGCTCGCGCGCCTACCAGCACCAACAAACTCACCAACCGATCACCTCTTTGTCGGCACAGACCAATACAATTATTTTACGATAACATGGGACCGCGAATCAAACGATATCAAAACAGCGCGCAGTTGCGTCGACATCGCCGAGCCCTCGTCCCGGGAGTCCCAATGCGCACCACGATGTCTGATGGATCCCACGGGACGGTTCATGACGCTGGAAGTATACGAGGGCGTGATTGTTGTTGTGCCGATCGTGCAGCCGACGAAGAAAAGAGGCCGGATGTCGATGGCAGGGTCCCAGGCTGACCAGCCGCTGCAGGTGGGAGAACTTGATAAGCCGACTACGTCCCGCATCGACGAGCTTTTCGTTCGATCCTCCGCTTTCTTGCATTCGGAATCCAATCCCTGGTTGGCACTGCTCTACGAAGATAACCAGCAGAAGGTGCGGCTTCGAATCCGCGAATTGGATTTCACGCCGGGCACTTCGGGGACTTCTGCAGATGCCACTTTCACGGAGGTGCAGAAGTTGGAGGGGGGTGAATTTGGCCAGGAGCTTGATCTTGGATCATCGCATCTTATCCCTATCCCGGCTCCGTTGGGCGGTCTTATTGTGCTTGGAGAAACGTCGATCAAGTACATCGACGATAATGCCAACGATGTGATCACGCGGCATCTAGAGGAGGCGACAGTCTTCGTGGCCTGGGAGAAGGTTGATAGCCAGCGGTGGCTGTTGGCCGATGACTATGGGAGGTTATTTTTCCTGTCTTTCATCCTGAATAACTTAGGCGGAATCGATGACTGGAAGCTCGAGGATCTGGGCAAGACGGCTCGTGCATCTGTGCTGGTCTATCTCGGGGGAGGTATGGTGTTTGTTGGCTCGCATCATGGCGACTCACAAGTCCTCCGGCTCGATGGAAGCTCGTTTGAGGTCGTTCAGACATTGTCTAACATCGCTCCGATCCTCGACTTCACTATTATGGACCTTGGGAACCGTACAAATGAAAGTCAAACGCATGAGTTTTCGTCCGGGCAGGCTCGAATTGTGACGGGTTCTGGTGCCTTCGACGACGGCACGTTACGCAGTGTGCGCAGTGGTGTTGGCATGGAAGAGTTAGGTGTGTTGGGAGAAATGGAACACATCACTGATCTCTGGGGACTGCAGACTCAAAGCAACGACGACTTTTTGGATACGCTCATTGTTACATTTGTTGACGAAACGCGTGTGTTCCAGTTTAGTCCTGATGGCGAAGTTGAAGAATTGGATAACTTCCTGGGGCTTTCACTCACGGAATGTACTCTTCTCGCCACAAAACTCCAAGGTGGTCGTATTCTTCAGGTCACAGAACAGCGAGTGCTGGTGGCTGATCTTGAAAGTGGAATGGTAACATTTGAATGGGCACCTCAGGACCGGAAGCTGATCACTTCCGCGTCGGCCAATGAGGACAACCTAGTTCTCGTTATTAGTGGCCAAATTGTGGCATCCTTTGATATCAGGGACAATGTCCAAATCATCGCGCAGAAGGATCTTGGCGCTGACCAGCAAATCTCTGGTCTGACTGTCCCAGCGACGCCAACGGGTGTATTCATCGCAGGCTTCCCCCAATCAGCCAAGGTGTCGATCCTGGATATTAAGGACTGCGCTGTTCTTCAAACAAAATCCCTAGGCCCTACCGGGGAGAGCTTCCCTCGATCAGTTCTTGTAGCCGAAGTCCTTGCGGACAGCCAACCTACTCTCTTCATCTCCATGGCTGATGGTTGCGTCATTACATTCTCACTAAACCCAGAAGACTACTCACTAAGTGAGATGAACAAGCTGATCCTTGGTTCCGAGCAGCCCACGTTTAAGAAACTCCCCAAGGGTGATGGCCTGTACAACGTCTTCGCTACTTGCGAAAATCCCAGCCTGATCTACGGCTCTGAGGGCCGGATCATCTACTCTGCAGTGAACTCCGAGGGCGCATCACGAGTATGCCACTTGAACGCAGAGGCATTCCCAGACTCCATCGCTGTCGCAACTGAGAAAGAGTTGAAGATCGCGCTGGTTGACCGAGAGCGCACAACCCAAATTCAAACGTTACCAATGGGCTCAACTGTCCGTCGTGTTGCGTACTCCCCTTCAGAGAAGGCATTTGGAATTGGCACGATTGATCGCAAGCTCGAGAATGGCGCCGAGGTTGTCAAGAGCCACTTTGTCCTTGCTGATGAGATCATGTTCCGGCGTCTTGATGCGTTAGAACTGGGCCCCGACGAACTGGTGGAGAGTGTAGTTCGCGCCGAGCTCCCGGCAGGGAAAGATAAAAGCGGAAAGGAGATCATGAAGGACCGATTTGTTGTCGGCACGGCATTTGCCGACGAAGACCAGGAGGAATCGATCCGCGGGCGGATTCTCATTCTGGAAGTCGACCACGGCCGCAAGCTGAGTCAGGTCGCCGAGCTGCCGGTTATGGGCGCCTGTCGGGCTCTCGCTATGATGGGTGACTGTGTTGTTGCGGCACTTGTTAAGACCGTGAGTACTGACCGACTGTATGTTTGAACCCCCTACTAATAATATCCAGGTCGTTGTGTATAGAATCAAAATCAATAACGTTGGACCGATGAAGCTCGAGAAACTCGCTGCATACCGGACCTCCACCGCACCAGTGGACGTAACAGTCGTCGACAACCTAATCGCAGTGGCAGATCTCATGAAGAGTCTTTGCCTTGTCAGGTATACACCGGGCCACGCTGGGGAACCCGCCAAGCTGACCGAAGTCGGTCGTCACTATCAAACTGTCTGGAGTACAGCAATTGCCTGTGTTGGTGACGAGACATTCCTCCAAAGCGATGCCGAAGGCAACCTGATCGTTCTCTCACGGAATGAGAATGGTGTCACCGCGCAGGACAAGCACAGGCTGATTCCTACTAGCGAAATCTCCCTAGGGGAGATGGTCAATCGTATCCGACCAGTTAATATCCCACAGCTTTCCAGTGTTACGGTGACACCGCGGGCGTTCATGGCAACAGTAAGTCCATCCCAATTGACCGGAATTAAAGGCTCATTTACTAACCCGCTCAAAGGTCGAGGGCTCCATTTTCCTTTTCGCTGTTATCAACCCCGAACATCAAGATTTCCTGATGACCCTGCAAGCTTCTCTTTCCAAAAAGGTCAACTCATTGGGCAACTTGTCATTCGACAAGTTCCGCAGCTTCAGAACCATGGTGCGCAGTGCCGAGGCACCGTACCGGTTCGTGGACGGTGAGCTTATTGAGCAGTTCTTGAACTGCACACCAAGCATGCAAGAGGAGATTGTGCAGGACATTGGCTCCTCAGACGTTGGGGAGGTTAAGAGGATGATTGAGGCCTTGCGGAGACTTCACTGATCTCTTGTGAGGTACCTATTTCTTTGGGGCATTGGTGACATGTTACGAACAGTTCATGAATACAGATAAGATGCGGCGATGGTTACATAGTTTTTAGAAGAGACCAGGGTAAAAATTCTGGCTCGATGTGGCTGGATTGAATGCATGTTTTAAAGTGCAAATAGTAGATTTATGATTTCCAAGTATACCTTACTGTGCAAGATAGAGGGTTCTTAATAGCGGATGCTAGGAGTAATCCATAGAATTCACTTAAAAGCTAGAGGGGCCGTGGAGGTCCTATTAAATTTGAATCTACTAATAAAAGTTACAAGAAGCAAAAAACCCCCATCGACCATGCAATGCACACACACCAGAACAATCCAAGACCCAAGACGACTCAAATCTCAAAGATCCTTCTTGACCTTGACATCAACCTCCTCCTCCTCACTCCAATCCAACAACTCCATAATCTGATCCCGGCTCAAATCCTCAGCGCGCTGATCCTTCTTCACACGCTTAATATAATTCTTCTGACGCTTGCGGGCCATGTCATTCCACTCAGGAACACCACTAGCAGCAGCCATAAGATCCTCCTCATCCTCAAGCTCGTCGTCCGTGTTATCAACTTCACCAAGGACCTTCCCCTTTCCGCTATCGCCACCAGCACGCAGCGAGTTCGGCGACACCTTCACTTTGCCGAACTGCGCCTTCTCCTTCTCGCGCTTCTCCTTCTCCTTGCGACGATCACGGTCGTGCATCCATTTAAAAGTCTTCTCGATGTACGGCCGGATGATTAGGTAGAAGATAACGCTGCCGATGACTTTGGTCCAGCGCTTGCCACTCATTTGCGCGATAGAGGCGTAGCCATTTTTGAAGAAGCGGGTGATAATCAACTCGAAGAAGGCGTACAACTGGGCGAAGAAATCTTGGGCGGCCTCTGCAGCCTTTTCGCTCAGATCTGACTGGGGTGTGGACATGGTGGATGATTAACCAGGTTGGGGGTTTTTTTTTGGCTCTGGTTGGAGGGTTTGAAGGGAGAGGTGGGAGCAGCTCGGTGGCTACCCGCGAAATGGGGTGGGAGGTTGTAGAAGAGGACAACCAGAGGTAGATAAGAGTAAAGTAGAGATATTTTTTTGTAAAAGATTAGGAATTGAGGGATTAATTGACGGGATCTGCGATTGCTTTGCGCTTCTTTGATATTCCGCGGCTCCCGCAAAGAGAAATGCCTTGTTTGGGCTTAGCGTGGCCTGTGTGCCGGATTAGCCGTTAATCCGCGGACGCGTTGTTGGCCAATCAGATCTCGTTGGTTTTATATAGGGACGCGCCCGACTTGTTGTCTTGCACTATCTCGCCACCATGGAGCAGACTGAAGAGGCTAGCTTGGAGGAGGTCAGTGTTAGTAGGATTCTGTCTTATTATTGACTAACTCTCTTTTGTAGCGCTTGAAATCCGCGCTGTGGCTATCCATCGGCAAGATGGTGGATGAGGAGACTATCAAGCTAGGCGTCAATGCCACCCCGCAGTTCATCGGTGCGTTGACAGAGATGGTTTGGGCTCAAATAGGTATGTTTCATTGTGTTACTATTTTATGTCAAGTTACGGCTTTTTGTCCTTGTAACTAACTATTTGCAGAGACGATCAGCCAGGATCTAGAATCCTTTGCGAAGTAAGTAGACACGCGAATGAGTAGCAAATTGGTCCTATTATTCCCGTGGGATATTACATTCAACAAGAAGTATGCTAACCTCATCTATAATCTAGACACGCAGGGAGATCTACCGTCAATGTGTCCGACGTGATGCTACTCGCTCGCCGTAATGAAGGACTGGATTTGATTCTCCGTGCTTTTGTTGAACAAGAAAAGCAACGCCAGGAAGACTCCTGAAGAAGCAGGCCTCGATAAGAACACGTCGCTCACTACCATGCAGCCTCACAGGCCATTGCCAAGGATTACATCGCTTTTAATTCCGGGATTCCCAAATGGAGTAAAATGTGAGTTCAGACGTGATATACCAATATGATTCATTTAAAAAATACATCCCTGGACAGTCAGCATCTTATATTGAGGATTATATCTCTAACTTTTCTCCAAGAAGCTTCCTTGCTTTGTACAACCTTTTGCGCAGAGGCCCAACCTTCTGTACTGTTGCGGTGATGCCACACCGCAACCTCCATTGGCCCGATATGCCTTGTCCCCTAAGGCCCCCTTTGTCTGGGCCGATACCAGCCTCTTTATCCAGATTGGGATCACCCGTCGACGGATATTGTCGTGACTAAAGCTGTGGTTCATCCGACAAGCAGCACCATGACCTTGAAATTTTGCGGGTGACACGCGCTAGCTAGCCCAGATCACAGCCTAAGATGTGAGCAGATACTTGTTTCAATCTGGTCTCATCCCTGTTGGACCACACCTCGTCCCGATTACCCCCACAAACTTCATTTCACCAAGATGATGATATACCATTCCATATGCGGCAGACCCAATTTTAATCTCAAATATCCCCCATTGTACCTCGAATGTTTGTAATGTTTGTACCCACTGCAAACGTGGCGCAGAAGACCCAGTGGAGTGGGCGTAGACGTCATTTTCAATGCGGCGGGTTCGTACAATGGACTCCAGCCGCCATACTTTCGACTTACAATAGTCAATGTACGGCGGTACAATACAGCCACCTGTACGGGCCAATGATAGGTAAGTTACTAAGTTACATAAGTTACCTGAAGGGACTGGGAAGTAGCTCGTGTCGGTGAACGAGATGATACTACGTAGTGGTATATGGAAGGCATGTCACGCATGGAAGGATCTTAAACTAGTTTCCACTATTGCTTAAGCAGCGCTAGTTTCAGTTTATTATATCTTTTTCTAACTTCGTGTCAACTAAAATCTTTGATAAATAAGGTCGCACCGGTGGAGTTCAAGGAGAGTCGCTCAGCAACAGTTGATAATATAAAAGCTGGGATACATGGAAATGAACAACAAAAATTTCCAAGAATAGTACACTGCGGAATAAACAATCTCAGGATAGTTTAAAGTGTAAGGGTCATTGTAGAAACCTTAGAAGATGGGAGTGTTGAAATTGTCTTGGCAGTGTGGCTGGGACAGGTATTTATTTTTATTTTTATTTCTTCACATGACAGGGTGGCAAACGCTCTAACCGGAGACAGCTAGGTGGAACCTTCGAAGTCACACAACCCATGGAACTGACATCACCGAGTGGGTCCTCTGGGGTCATTTAGAGTGTGGCGCAGGCGCTGGACCATTGAGCTGAGAGCTTTTCCCAGGATCGACGTGCAACAGTGCCGCCATCCACTGATCGTCAATTTATCTTCCTCCCTTATAACTCGCTCAAATCCTGTTGCCTGTGTTTCTTTCTTATATTCTCCCCTTGACCCCACGGTCTTTACTGTCAACTTTATACCCACAAAACAAACCACTACTTCTTATACAATATGGGAGCCGGCGGGGTAATCCTCCGGTTTTTCAGCCTCGGTCTGCGTGTTTTGCAGTTCCTCGATGCTGCCGTCATCCTCGGAATTTTCTCGTATTTCTTGGCAGTCCTGTCCAGGAACAACCACTCCATTGCGACATGGATCAAGGCCGTTGAAGGCTTAGCAGGTGCAGCAGCCGCCTACAGTTTGCTAGGCATCATTTTCACCTGCTGCCTGGGCGGCGTAGCCTTCTTTGCATTCCTGGGTGTTGCCCTGGATATATGCTTTGTGGGTGCAATGGTCGCCATCGCTATCCTAACTCGCAAAGGTGTTGGCCAATGTACCGGAACAGTGGACACACCAATGGGCACGGGTAACGCCGACGATGACACTGTTTCCAAGGGTCTGAAATTCGGCATGTCTTGCAAACTGGAGAAGGTCGTTTTCGCAGTGGCGATTATCGGAATGTGAGTTGATCATGAATTACTGATAATCACTGTTATCTGAACTATACTAACATATCGTCTAGCTTCTTCTACTTGACCTCAATCCTCTTCCAAATCCTTCTCGCCCGCCACCACAAGCGCGAGAAGCGTTTCGGTCCCTCACCCACCAACGGCTACACCCACGGTAGCCGCAAGGCCTTCTGGCGCCGTAACAAGAACAACCCCGAAGCTGCTGTTGCCGGCAGCGCCGATACTCTGCCCGGCCACCCAACCCCATATGATGTCGAGATGGGTGCTGAGCCCAAGATCGAGAAGGGATGGTTCAACTCTTGGGGCAAAAACAAGAACACCGCCAATCCTCCGGCTGCTGCCCCGGCTGCAGGTGCTTATGGCTATGGTAACTCGGCGTACACTGGCAACATCTAGGTTGCTGGTGTAGGATATTTGCTGCTCCAAGTATCTTCGTCTGACTGGACTGGTGCTCGTGCACTGGTCAAATGATTCTATGACCCTTTTGTGTTATTTGAGAGCCAAGATACCACTGCTATGCTTGTGATTAGATTGGATTGTACAATATGATGGAGGATATCTGGCGAGCATACTTGGGTCTTTCGAGACTAGCTAGCCACATTTTTAATATTAATCAATACACTGCTTTGTCAATATTTTTCTACACCGTGCAGCCTCGTCGGGGGTCTAATCTAGATTCGAGTTTCATGTTCCTGGACGTAATGCGACAATGGCATTCTGCCTCACTTTCCGCATGCGTCAATATATGGTAACATACCGGATTCGATCATGTGGGAAACAAATATATACCATGGGTTTACTAATCATGCCTTGGAAACATGTCAAAAAAAAAAAAAAAAAAAAAAAAGGATAAGCCACAGGGTGGTAGTAACTTCGTGTGCATACTCTACATAATGTACTGAAAAGGAAGCTCATCAAGGGCAATGAACTGAATGATATGAAATGGTCAATGCAAAACAGGAGAAAGTAATAACTATGTAGAGCCCACGGTCGCAAGTCTGATACAGGCCGCGGAACTCTGTGCCAGGACCGAACTGGGATATTTTGATATCATAAAGCAACTCCTGGCAATTGTAAAAGCTGTTGCTTTGCCTCCAAATACATCATTCTATCGCCTTTTCGTATTTTCTGGTTCGCTCACAAGTTCGCCCAACATTTTGCAATGTGAAGTCCGGATGTTTTCAATCTCCTTCTCTAGCGGTTGGGATTTGGTGTGGAGCAGTTCCCTTGAAGAAACCTCATCTGCGGGGGGAATTTGAGTGACACTGACACATGTCTTTTCCATCTTTAACACGTATCACTGGTGTGGAGAGTAGACACACCTAGAACCCAATATTACAAAATTTGTCCTCGGGTACTATTTCTCTGCACCGTGAGGGGAACGAAGCCTCAAGGGCTCGGAAAAGACCCCATAGGTGCGAGGCCTCCTGGTTGTTGGATGAGATAGGCAAACACCTCGACAACCCAATATACCAGGATTCAGGAACCATGAGGACCCAGATCATCATGGTCTCACACATTGTTGAACCTCCATATCTTGTCCTCTTTGCTCAGAATCCCACAGCATGCGCCGCTTCTCTCGCGGATACATGAGTGGTGTAAATAAGCTGGCGGTCGCCTGTACATCAAGCGCTGGGGATTTTTATCCTTGCAGTACTGTTGTGCGAATGAATTATTTGTGGGGTTATCACTCGGCCCAATGAGGGAAAGGAAGAATATTAGAGGGAACAGATGAAGTCCCCAGGGCTCGGAGCAGACCCTATAGGCATAAGGTCCCCCTGTTGTTCCCGGAATTCTATACCATGACTCGAGGTAAGAACCGGTAGCATTTCCAGGCCCTAAGACCTCATGTTTTGTCGTCGGAACTCTATGCCAAAAGAGCAGGGAGCGGTCGAGTCGCCATTTCTCGCGCTTCATGACTTTCAAAGCGTGTTTAGTATATAGTCTGACCGACGACGATGAGGCTTAGCGACACCACGGAATTGTGAAAGGCTTAGTGCCGAAGCAGTATTCAAGAAGAGCGTTGGTAACATGCGCGCAGGAAGTTGAAGAGAGCGAATCCGATTGTATGCCTCAACTATGAGCGTTGCACCAATTGTCCTGTGTGTCTCTCCTACACACAAGGGAGCATAAGTTGAAACCCAACCTGAGTCAGGCATTCTTTGTGGAGGTAGTCGGGAACTTGACAAAGGCCAACGCTGGTCTGGTATGAGCCAGGCGAGAGCAATATCCACATCACGGCACTCATCTCAATGGTTTGAATGGATGTGATATAGAACTCTCCGGGGCTTCTCTGGAGTGGAGGTTGGGAGAATCCCGCATGATGATTATACAGGCGACAAAAATGGCGGTACAAACCTCTAGGAAGTTGTACGGCTGGTCGACCCGAAAGAGCATATCTGTGGTTACCACACCATCTCGTCGGTTATTTGGAAGGTGGCAGCTTCCAGTAATAACTGGAGAGCATTTGGCGTATCGTTTGGGAGATTGGCATAGTATCCCATCAGTCTTTAACGGTGACTGGAAGATATGATGTATGATGCGGCCTATAATTTTCAAGGCAGCCACATCTGCGAGGATCCAATGCCTCGTACGATCCGAATCGCGGCTCAGATATATATAGATGGTCACTTTGCTGAACAAAAGAAAGAAGGATTTTGCTAACTGCACGCGATTGCAGCTGGTATGTGCGATGAACTCTTTGTATTCTGTGTACCCAAGTATCATTGCTTAGCTCATCTTGAAGATTGTTGCAGGGAATTTCTCGCCGAAGGCTCGAAAGTACGGATATTGTTCTCTGCTCCAACCGTGGGAGGCAAGGTAAGATGACACATATCGAGATGTTTCGCGACAGGAGTAATTTAGATGGCATTGAATTGCTTCTCCAGGAAGCATAGGCCTCGATGTTGACATACTGAGCGCCGTGCGCTACATGGATCGGGTATGGGACTGATTCTCCGGGGGAAACGGAGTATTGGGAGAACACATGGAAAGATTATCGAATGCAGAGCGTATGCGAAATGCGAATGCTAAGAACTGTCCTTGTCCGTAGTCTTTTCTGTTTGCCCTTCAAGCCGCTCATCGATAGACAAGGCTGTGTAAGCCCTTGCGGAGCCCTAGTCGCTCCTTCGTACCATAATAGTAGCAGCCGGTAGAAAGCAATGCCGAGTGCCATCAAGCGTCAGATAGACTCGCTCAAGAGGAAGGCCTTGGGACAAGCCTGTGATCAATCACACCATAGTTGATCTGGCCGAAATTGTAGTGCGAGCCATCCATATTGTATCGCACAAGATTACCTGTCTTATATAGAGTATCTGTGTTAGTGTCTTGGAATTGTGTAATTACAAGAGACTGATAAAATGACCCTGCACTTCCAGTTGGGCATTTGATTCACCGGAATCATTAATCATTTGTCTCTTTCAAATGAATGCTCTGGGATAAAGCCTTCATCATTAGATTTGGATTTTAGATTGGAATTGAAAAAGTCATTATGGTGGAATCTGTGAGACGACAGAGATCTGGGTAAGTGAATAAGAGAGAAGTAAACAGAGTCGCGCTTTTAACTGAAGCGGGGGTGGGGAAGCGCGTATTCCCGGGTATCTCCGTGCCGATGCCGCCCCCGGAGGACCGTCACGACGCGACAGCCTGGCAGCCGCAAGTCTGTACCTATTGATAACGTAGCGTTGATGTTTTCTCGATATATAAGATGACTCTTTGGTTTCATTGGCTGTAGTGCGAAAATAACTACTAAATATACACCATGGAGAAGTGAGGATCATACTACCATGGAAGAAACAAACCTTGATTGTAGTATGTAGCAGTATAAATGGGCAATCATAAATGTTCTTTAACTGGACAAAGGGTACAATGAGAAGGAGGGGTGGGTGGCCTCTTATACCCCCATGAACATGCGTACCTTCCCTAAATGGCCAGATCACTTGCACCTTCCATGTCAACATCACATGTGTCCATCGCACCTTCCCAATCCGGACACGGATATTTGCTTACACGTAGGGTCTTTGGCCCTTAGAAAGGAGCCCTGGAGCTAGTGTCGCACTTGCATTCACGCACTTTGACTACATATTACCTACATGTATACCAGAACAATTCAAATGATAACATTTTGTAGCTCAATTTTAAATCCTGTAATGTTTAAGAATCCCGGCTGGACACGTATGGAATCTGCAAAAGAATTATATCGTTCCTCGCAGATTGTTGAAATAAAGAGGTGTATAGCATAACCAAAGTTCAGAATTGAAATTAACACGAGGAATCATTAGATAGCTTGGCATTACAATACCATCAACATAGGGACATCAACTGATCGCTTAACAGGTCATGGGTAGAGAAAAAAAAATAGGAACAATACAAAGTGCCCAATAAGCGGGCTAGAAGGAAGCATAAAGAGTCAAAGTCCGAACAAAGACCGAATGTAGCGAGCGAAGTTGACTCGACTAATTCGGTCTAGAGACTGGTGGGACTTGAAATACCCAATGGCATGTATCCCAAAAAGAAGGGGAGAAAACAATCGGCAAGAGAAAGGAAAAGTAGAAAAATGAAACCCCTCTAATGGAGGCCAGTGATAACGCCTGAGCGGCAGATAGTGCCAGCAGCGACGGGGCCCATGAACACGGGTTTTCCGTTAGAGCAAATGGCAAAGGAAAATCCATCGGGAGAACAGATGAGATCCCCAGAGTGGCAAGACCATTGACCAACATAGTCGGCGAACTGGTTGCTGGATGAGGCCTCGGGGGAGAGAACACGAGAGTCAGCGGCGGTGGGAGTACTGGCGGCCTCGGCGATCTTGGACGAAGCCTTGGTGGAGATGGTAGTAGCTGGCTTTTTCTCGGGCTTGGGCGTGCTGGTGGTGGCGGGCTTGGTCACAGCCTTGGAGCTGCTGCTGGTGGCAGGCTTTGTCGTGGACTGGTTGATGCTATTGAGGAAGGGAGCACTGTCGGAGCACTTGTAGCCCGGGCCGTCAGCCTTTCCAATGAGCTTGGGACCAGGCTTGGGGAAGTGAACGGCCTGGCCCTCAATGGTCACACATTTTCCAGCCTGGCCAGCGTTGGCAACGAAGAGCTCAGGGAGACTATCGAAGCTGTTCTTGGCATTTGTGGTCTGGGTATTGGCCTTGTTGTTGGGGCCCTTCTTGGTGGTCTTCTCATCGAGTGTCTGCTTGGGGGCCTCCTTGACCTCACGGTTCTCGGAGTTGATAGTAGCGTTGCGGTTGCTGGAGCCACCAATGGTGATCATAGCGCAGTTCATGTACATCTCGCGGTTGCCAACCTTGTTGAACCACGTCCAAGCGAAGAGAGCATTGCCAGATGGTGCGTCCGAGGGGACATCAAACTGGTACTTCTTCGCAATAGGGCAGTCACCCTCGATAGACTCAATGACCTTGAAGGTCTTACCTTGGTCATACGTCAGGGCAAGCTGGCATGAGCCACCGTCATGGACAGCACTGCCTTCCAGTGTCATCTCTTGGCTCGAGCCTGGCGCCCATGTATCCACGGCCTCGAAGTCATCATTGGCGTAGCCTTTGCACGGGTAGTCGCTACCAGAGGTGGAGAGGGGGTTGGTATAAGAGTAATCCTTCTCACCCTTGGCATCCTTGTTGAGCGGACTGCGGATAGGGTATGGCTTGCTCAACTGCATGTGAGCCGAGACAGTGCTAGCCAAAAGGCCAGATAGGATCAATGTGGCCTTCATTATGATTGAAATGTTTCTATACGCCTTGTTAGCCTGAGCCTGATAATTGGTAACATGAAGAGTAAAGAAGGAGGCACTCCCCAACGGCTCACTTACAGCGTCTTTTTGAGAACTTTTGTATAGACTTTTGATCTATTGAGATGATGCTAAACACGCAGCCGACAAGGTCAATTATAAGAGTATAAAGGCTTGAGAGAAAATAAATTCTGGGTTGTCGACAGCAATTAGTATAAATATAGGATCGGTAGACCATAACATTCCACATAACTCCACGGAGGAATGGCAGATACCATCATGTCGCGGCCTCTGCCCATGCGATGGTGGTCTGGATGGCCCTCGCAACGTAAAGAATGTCAACACACGGTTGTCCTCCGCTATCATACTATGTCTTTATCTTCGTATACGAAGTCAGCAGCAAATTATTGATATCTCACGCAATTAATGAATCTGTATTGTACCTCGATAGATGAATTAGACAAGTCATACAAATATCATCTCGATTTTGTTTTGTTTAGATACCCAGATCGCCAGCAAAGCATCTAGGAGAACCCCACTGTTGGGTGGCAACGACTTGAGGGGCAATTTTGGATTGTACACACAATGGCCGCTCAGGCATCAAATGCGAAAAAGAAGAGACGGCTTCCTTCATTCCAAGCTGCATTAATCTCCGTGGGCTTGGAATCTTGACATGATGTCAGAAAGGCAAAAAGGGACGCGTCTCAATTATTTATGGCTGTCAAATGTCCGGCAATCAGGTCCCGGAATCCACCCAAACTCCATCCTGTGTAACTCCTTTCTTCACATCGTGGGCTGTGTAATACAGTTGGTTTGGGGCTCGGCCTCAAGTCCGGGGCAAGCCCTAAGGGGCCGTGGAACCCCTGTCTTCCTCCCCCTGCATGCCTACCCAGGGCACCAATCAGGATTTCCGAAGCCAAGGGATTTGTTTACATCCACGCTAATCTATGAAGGTTTCTTCTAATTATGTTCATGGCGTGGACAAAAGCTTGTTGCTGCGCGATCTGCATGGTGCTCTTCGAGGTACACACTGCGCATCGCTCTATTAATTGAACATGCTCTGAATGAATTTTAAATATCGACAGTTCCAATTCTCCAAGTATATTAGTAGTTAAAATTAGGTGGATAATTTATCGTGTTTTGTCCCTTGACTCAAAATTTATATATTGGTTCAAAGATATATATTCACAACCAAAACATCCGACTGCTATTATTCCAAGCAGCCTCTGCTACTTCTTCCATAGCAATGCCCTTCAAACCCGCCACAACTAACCCCACATGCTCCATAAAACAACTCTCATTGCGTGTCTTGACCATTTGTCCCAGTATAAACTTGTTATGTTTCCGACTCGCAGGCAAAGGTCTCGCAGTTTCTAGATAACCCGCGATTTTGGGATCATTAGATAAGACCTCACACCACGGGGCATCTGTCTCCAGCTGCAACTTGTCCAATGGGATACTTTTAACCATTTCCAACTGTTCATCCGTACGGAATGAGACACCGTTGACACTAATCTCAAGACCCAGTTCCACCAGCTGGAGCATCTCCCCCTTCGTCCCCGCAAAAGAATGCACCAGCCCACCACGCGGCAGTCTTGGCAGAAAAGGCTTGATGATGGAGATAAAGTCTTCAGCTGATTCACGAACATGCAAGAACAGTGGTAATTGGAATTGCACGGCTAACTCTAATTGCTCGCGGAACGCGCGTTGCTGCGTCTCCTTATCGGCCCGATCCAGGTACTCGTAGTCCAGCCCGATTTCCCCAAACGCAGCCAGAGGCGACGGGTTCTCGGCCATGAGTGTTTCGCCCAGTTCACGCAGCTCGTTGAGATATTGTGATTCTGGCTGTTCGTATATTTCGGCGGCATGGTAAGGATGCACGCCTAAGGTCATTTTGCACATCGTAGGGAACTCCCTCACTGCCCGGAGATTTTGTTTCGCACCTTCCAGAGTCATGGTGGTGAGCATGGTCTTTTCACACCCATGTTCTCGGGCTCTTTTCAGGACTTCTGCAAAATCGGGTTCGTGATACTGCTTTCCTCGGTAGATGCCTTGGAATTGGTCTGCAGTGAATGTGACGGCAACCTGTCGCGAGTCTTAGTTAAAATTCGAGAAACAATGAAAGGAGTTTGCTCACATCGAAAAACTTCATTGTGATTATTCGTATTTAGTGGAAGATCGTGATGGAAAGGAAGGGAAAAATCTTGCGTTCGGCGTTCTTGGCGGCTTCGAACTAAATAGGGCTGATATATATTGGCAATCAGGTTTTTGGAGGCTTGATAATGAAAGGCTACGCCGCGGACAGTACAAAATTCTTGAAGTAGATCTTCGATTCAAATGACATTAACAGGGCGTTCAATAGAACGACATGGAAATGTACCGATGTCGGCCAAAGTGGGGCTTGTTTTTCTGTTGTGGGCGTACCTGCGAGGGGAAGAATGGGATATATATCTTATAATGCATCTATATGACTATGAACTGGGGGAAATTGATGATATCTAATTACGAGTAACCTTTATTTCGCCAATTTCCCCCGATGCCGTTCCTGCAAGGACACCAGTTCCGATGATCCCGCCATCACTGGCCTCCCGTAAGAAGACACTTTTCCCTCCTACTTGAGGACCAGCTCGAAGTAGCAGTCGATCAATATATCTCTGTGTAGTTTCTTTATAATGAGGATAGTGTTGGATCACTCCCCCGGAGAAAGCAACAGCGAGCTCCTCGGGCCCGCTATTCCAACCTGGAGTTGACGATGAGACTGACTCGGGGTCCGTTTGTTTAGTACCTCCAGCTTCCGTTTTAACATTTTCTCCATTGGTGCAATTGGGAGCCGTGTTGCCTAGTTGGACTTCATTGGTGCAGGCTAGCAGACCAACAACCGCAGATGCCACCAACGAGGCCGCTCGATCCTGTACAGCTGAGGAAATGGCTCGAATATCACGGGCGTACTCAGGCGACCAGGTCCAATCACTCCCAGGAGATGGTTGAAGTGTCTTGGACAACTCACTTGCAAGGCGTTCATCGGACAGAGAAGAGGCAACAACGAGGGAGAGGTAGTCTGTTGAAAGAGAATATTCCTCAACCAACTTCAGCGGCAATTTAGAGCGCTCTATTCCCAAAACTCCATGGAACCAATCATAACAGACGATGCGGACAAGCTCGCCAGTGTATCTGCCGCCGATCATATATTCCATTGGCTGGAAACCAGGTCTTTTGCAATTTCTATCCAGCTGAAAGTCCCACTTATTTCGAATACCAAGCTCATCAAAAGAAGCCGCTGCAGTGGAGAGAGTCCATTCAGTCGAGATGAGTGTTTCTTGTGCGTCGGGATGTTTTTCAAGAATGCTTTTAGTTTTGGATTCATGCAAATCGGCAAGTTTCATGGGAACAGTCGTGTTGCACCCCGCTCCCACGATTAGACCCATAACAACGCGGGTGTTGGGCAAGGAAGGGATGGAGTACGCCAGTGAAGCAAGGGTCGCTGTCGTATCATTGATCATGACTGCAACTTTCAGTTTAGGAAGAGAGAATAGCCTGCGGCGTTTAGCAGGCATGTTCATTTCATCTCCATGAGTTGAATATGTGTGTCGTTCATATCCATTCAGTAAGGCTTGGCGGAGATTGAGGTCTGAGTTTAGAGAAAAGCCTTTCCCTGTCGGCATCAAGATGGCTTCATCGAGGGAATCTTGTCTACAATGGGTTAGTCACAGCAACGCATGGCCAAGTCTGGGGGAATAGCTATACTTTATAGGTAGGCAAAATGAAATACCTGTTGTTATTTGATCAATTCGCTCTTCACTTGGGTTGGCCAGTCTGTCTGCCACCACCTCGGCGATACAGTCTCCAATCCATGTGAACAGGTCAATAGAATGATCCTTCCGTAGATGTTCTTCAATAGGCCATGCTTTCTCTAATGTGCGCCGTACGCGTGGATGTCCTTCGACATGTTGATCTCCTAGGAGGTCGATGAAGGCCACCCGTAGGTAGGATAGACCAAAATAGACAGCAAGATAACGCCCTGTTTCATGACCCGTTGGAAGACAGGTAAGGGCTGTTGGAATAAAGTGTTCTGAAGATTCTGCAGCCAACTTTTTATAAGACGATGACAGCCGACAGGACAAATCATACAAGGTCTCGAGTTGAACCCGAAAAGGCTGAAGGAACTCCTTTATATTAGGCTTTTTTAAGGAGATCTGCGAGTTTGTGGCCATTTCATCTAAAAAAATTGGGATGTGACGTGGCTTTTTCCCAAGTTGGAAAGGTTGAAGACTTGAGAGACATCCCGAGGTCGCGGATAAACAAGCGCTGATGGAGAGAATACCACCACGTGACCGGCATTTATCATAATGCTACATTACTTTTTAGGATGAATCCATTTCGATGGTTGACAGGGTTCTATGGTATATACTATTGCTTCATTCTTGGCGCATTTGATAGCTTTTTATATCATCCTTCGGCCTCTAGGGTTTCATGTTAGCTTTGGGATGCTGCCCTTGAACATTCAATATGGTTAATGGGCGTTTTAATTAGAAGTGAAAAATAGTGTTAATAAATTTGAAGAAAAAGATAGTGAGATTGGAACTAGATAGAACTTATAAATCCCCTTTATGGACAGGGATAGCGCTATAAATCCGCACATATAGAATATCGGGGTTACATTCGCCAGTTGTTTCCCCCGCATATTCCATGGATGTCAGACTCTCATATAGCCCCTCAATCTCACGCTTCTCACTGTCACCTTCAACCTTTCAAATTTGGAAGTGACACCGCCAGAAATGAGTAGAAGTGAGAATTCGAACCCGTCATCTTGGCCACCAACGCCAGACGAACCTGAATACCAATATACGCCCGAAGCTACACCTTCAGAGACCGACGAGACTCCACCTTTACATGCAGTAAACGTCGCACCAAGATGGAACGAGTCAAAAACAACCATATGGAAGGTGACTGCCACGTTTTGGTGTGCATTTGTGATGGGATCCAATGATGCTGCATATGGAGCAATCATTCCCTATGTTTGTGTCACCAACTCAGCTTTGACCTGACTGTGCTGTATAAATTAGCTGACCATCTTACTTGAACCTTTCAGCTAGAGGTTTACTATCAAAAAAACTACACGATCATTTCCCTAGTGTTCCTTTCGCCCTTTGTGGGATATACTGTATCCGCTATCCTGAGCAATTTAATCCATCAGACTTTCGGCCGACGAGGAATCACAATAATTGCCCCAACTTGCCATGTGATTGCATTTGCAGTCATATCTGCCCACCCGCCCTTTCCAGTACTGGTGATTATGTATATTCTGGTTGGCTTGGGGAGTGGATTTCACAATGCGGCGTGGAATGTATGGATCGGGAACATGGCGAACTCGCACGAGGTACTCGGTTTCTTCCATGGGTTCTATGGTGTGGGGGCCACGATCAGCCCTCTCGTTGCTACCAGTCTAATTATCAAAGCTGGATGGGAATGGTATTCTTATTACTATCTGATGGTATCTCGGTCTTCCCTACAACCACCACTGGATATCGACAAACTAACGATCAAATATAGACTGGAGCAGCTTTTATAGCCCTCATTTACTCCACTAGCGCTTTTTGGGGTGAAACTGGGAGCAAGTATCAAGAAGAGAATCCCAGTTTCCCTGGCAGGGGAGGAGTATTCGCTCAAACACGCCTTGCCCTCACATATAAGGTCACCTGGATATGCGCCATCTTCCTCTTTCTCTATGGTGGAATTGAGGTAGCAATCGGCGGATGGATTGTTGTCTTTATGACAAACGTTCGACACGGCGACCCATTTGAATCTGGAATGGCAGAGACAGGCTTCTGGCTTGGCATCACAGTCGGTCGGTTCGTGCTAGGGTTTGTATCACCACGAATCGGAGAGAAGTTGTCCATCGCTATATACATTTTGCTTGCAATTGCCCTTGAGCTCATCTTCTGGCTCGTGCCTGAGTTTATCGTGTCCGCGGTTGCGGTTGCATTTGTTGGATTCTTTATGGGGACTATTTTCCCGGGTGTTGTGATTGTGGCGACACGATTGTTACCGAAGAATCTTCATGTTGCCGCCATTGGATTTGCGGCTGCATTTTCTATGGGTGGTGGTGCTGTTTTCCCATTCATGATTGGCGCCATTGCCCAGGCCAAGGGGGTGATGGTGCTGCAGCCGATCTTGCTTGCCATGCTGGCTGTCTCATTGGGAATTTGGGCAATGATTTTCCGGCTTCCCCAGCACGAGGTATCACATCAAGTCTGAACAGAAATACAAAATTAGAAACGGTTGGCGCAATATAGTTCATATTCTTGGGCTACAGTGTTCTGGGATTTCAATGGAGCATACAGTGTAAAATTGCCGAGAGCTTGCTGTTGTATCTCATCATTTGCTTTTATTTCCTTGATTTGTTCTATTTATACATATCAAAGTATCACTTACATTTGGAGTCAATTACAACCACGTGGTGCTCAATCGACTTGCTCTTGTACACCATGGAACAATTTAAGCATGCCACGAGCAGCATGCTCCCCGAGTATATCGAGAGTGCCCATTCTCATCAACTCGAGGACACTGATCTCAAACTCGAATGTCGCCTTCCACCACTGTTTCACCTCAATTGCCACGAGAGAGTCCATTCCAAGCTCAGACAAGGAGCAAGATGTCACCAGGTCTTCTTCCGGCCTCAGCAAGAAGCTAAACACCTTCTTTCCAATCTCCACAGCAAGCGTTTGAGCGGAGTCGGGTTGGCTTAGTAGCGCGGCATCACTCTTAGCTTGTGTGATAAAGGCTTCCAGGCCAGTGCCAGAAGTAGAGGCTAAGGTGGCACCAGGTGCTCCAGTATTATGGAACACTGACATTCGTACGTCCTTCTTCCAGATCAAACGGTTTCTTTGATCAGCCAGAGGCATGTTGGGACGAATTCCGACGCAGAAGTTGCTTGCTTCGGGTCTCGACTTATTTGCCACAGGTGTCATCGCTCCCTCTACTGCGCTAAAAAGCTGGCTCACCGAGACTGTATTGCCTAACCCGCCAGCAGCCTTGAGCTTTTGTATGAGTTCCTCCTGCTCGGCGGCATAACCTACTCCCTCGACAGGACCGATGTCGATAGCGCAAGCTGGTAGTCCCAGACCCAACCGGTATTTTGAAAACGCATCTAGGAAGGTATTGGCACCAGAATAGTTGATCTGACCAGGAAGCCCAAATACGCCGGATACCGAACTGAAAAGGATAAAGAAGTCGAGGTCCGCATTCGCAGATACCGAGGCATTATGAAGATTCCACGTTCCCTTGACCTTCGGATCAACAGCTGTGTTCCACTCTTCCAGTGTCATACGTTCAAAGCTCCGATCACGAAGCATCATGGACATCTGCAGAATCCCCCGAAGCCGGCCTTGAGCCCGTTTGATGGCAGTGCTCACATCTTCAATCTTCGACACGCTACCTTGAACGAAGTCGGCACGGCAATCCATACTGGCAAGCTCTTGAGCAAATTCTTGGTGGAGTACACTTGATCCTGCAGTTCGGGAAAGATATATCAGATGGCGAGCCCCATGTTGGACCATCCATGTAGATATTGCCCGACCCAGACCGCCGAGACCACCTACCAGTAGGTATGCACCGGAGCTGTCGAGTTGGATGGGCTTTTTTCTTTGCTGGAGATTTTGTACTGCGCTGACCTGGCCTGACGTATCACGCATCGACACGACGATTTTTCCTAGATGAATGCCCTGCTGCATGTAACGGAACGCATCGTGTATACCGTCGGAACTAAAAACCTTGATGGGTCGGATAGGAGAGATGTAGCGCTCCCTGAGTAGGTGCACAATTTCCTTTAGCAGCCTGTATGATGTTAGTTACCGAATCACATACATTGTCATCCCCCTCGTGATTGATGGTACATACTTCTTTGCAAGGGTCGGCTTTCTGGAACAAATTTGATCCAAGTCAACACAGCAGTAGCTCCGGTTATCTAAGAAAGGAGTCATATCAAGTTTTCCAGAGCCAATTAGGTCTCGCTTGCCAATCTCGACCATCTTTCCAAATGGTGCAATGCACTTCCATGTAGCATGTAGTAATTCACCAGACAATGAGTTTAATGCCAAGTCGATACCCTGTCCATTTGTCTCCCGCATGATGTCCTCGACGAATGAGGTATTACGGGAGTTGAGGATCCTGTTTCGAGGAAGGCCAAACGTGTCCATGAGATACTGGACCTTTTCCTCGTTACCGACAGTTGCGTAAATCTCGGCACCGGCCATTTGAGCAAGCTGGATAGTCGCAATTCCAACTCCACCGCAGGCACTGTGGATAAGAATGGACTATAAATACGTCAAAAGCTGAGATGAGAAGCCAGAGAGTTGAGGGGGGATCGGACCTGTCCTTTTTTCAGATTACCAACGTCGAAGATGGAGTATATTGATGTGCTGAACACACAAGGCATGCTAGCCGCATCGGTGAAGCTTAAGCCACCTGGGATTTTCTCGCACAGGTTCTCGGAGAGAACTAATTGTGTCCCAAATAAACAGCCCCCAACAACCATGACGCGGTCACCGACCTTCAGATCTTGAACTTCAGGGCCGATGCGGCGGACTATGCCAGCGCCTTCATGGCCAAACTCATTATCTTTGGCCTCGACAATGCCCATGGCACATAAGACATCCTGCGAAACTGCATCAGTGTGTGTTGTTCTGCCCCCCCTGTTTTCTTCGCACCTACCTTGAAATTCAAACCGGTTGCGTACGTGTCGATTTCCACTTCATCTCCTACCAGGGGTTTGATATCCCCGCGAGCCCAGTATAACGAAGCCAAGCGACCGGGCTTACTAGTTCGAAGAGCCGTGCTACCATCGGAACCCGACATTTCTTGCTCGTCTTGCGCCGAGAAAGAATGATACCGTCCGACTTGGACGGTATTGTCCACAACAGCGTATTCAAATTCAGGCTTGAGGGTCTCGTCCTCCTGGCGGACTTGGAACTTCTCATATACGTCAATGAGTTTTTCCAAAGAGATATCAAGATCATCGATCTCGCAAGTAGCAAAGTCGACAATCAATTCATTGCGAATGGTCCTTGCTATGCCGTTGATCTGGCTAAATCTCGGGTCCTGGCATTGGGGTTGTGATAAACGAGTGACCCAGAGAATACCACATCTATTTAGGCTCTCCACCATTTTCTTGAAAGAACCAAATCTTGTGTTATCCATGTTTTCAAAGAATGGAACTTCTTCGTCAAGCAAGGCGATCACATCTTGTCCGTCAGGCAGGGGCTCTTCATCAAACCGAGAATGATGAACGGAGTATCCCCTGTTCTCCAGCGCCTGAAGCAAAGGACCGAAAGATTTCGATTCAGAGAGTGTCAGGAGCGTGACGCATTTTTTAGGTGCTATATCACTTTCCGGTCTAGCCACGATCATGGTGTTTAACTGATATGGGTGGTCCGAATCCAAAACTGCAGCATCAGGAGTGCGGAATCCAGCAGACTTGAGTTCTTTCTCCCAGCGCTCAACGCCTACATATGGCTCATCCGACCGACCGTCAGCATTGCCATACCACCAGCCGGGCAGAGTTCCAAAGATATAGTTGATCCATTTAGATGTCGGTGTTAATTCGTGGAGCAGGAACCATCCGGTAGGGGAAAGAAGTTTGCGAACATTGCTCAGACTGTCATTTAAGGATGCAGTGGCGTGGATGACATTAGTCGCCAGAATTAGGTCGAATTTGCGACCATCGAAACCTTGGTCGGAGGGATCCTTGCTAATATCGAGAGTAGCGTATTCAAGGTTTGAGTAATTGGCAAAGCGATCCTTGGCAGCAACAAAGAAGCCTGATGAGATATCAGTGAAGGTGTAATTCGAGTATAGGGTTCTGTTCCCAGGTGTCAACAGCTTGAGGAGATTAGCTGTAGATCCGCCGGTTCCGGCACCTATTTCGAGGATACGCAAATTAGGTTTGCTGTGGCTTAGTTGCTTGATGAATCTGGAAATATCACATTGATCCATAGCGTCGTAGACGTTGGCCAATATGTGGTCGGCTAGAAGGAGATCCAGAGGCTCTACCTCTCCGGTAAAGATCCGTTGGACGTTATTGAAGATTGCCTCAATACCAACAGCAAGATGGGCACCATTGGTTTTAGACACCTGGTCAACGAGCCTTTTCACTCGCTGCTCAATGGCAGTATTGTCAAAAATTTGGAAACTCTGTAAATCCATAGAAAGGAGGTGTTGATCGATCCATGATCGATACTTGTGCATGTGGCTGATTGGAGTATCTAGTTCAGCAATGACGCGCTGTGTGTAAACCATACATAGATGGGATAATTCTGTCAAAGCGGGCGTGTAATCACTGCGGTCAATCAATGGCTTGATGAGGGTGTTGACATCCAGGAAATCGATATGGGGAGCCCATTCTGCACAAGCAGTGGCGTTGTTCGCTTTGTCGGAGTCTTGATGATCGAGAATAGAGAGTTTGATTCCAGAACTGCGTAAAGCAACCTTGCCCCCTGCGGTAATGCATTGGCCACTACCCACAATAGAGCCGTTCGGGGTATAAGATGCGGAAGCCTGGACTTGGACATTCTCATAACAGCGGGAGATGGTCATTTCTTGAATGTGAGTAGGAACCATTATGGTCGTTATTGGATCGGCATATCCCTTGGAAGCAGCCACGCTGAGCAGCTGTAGTGAGGCATCTATGACTGTGGGGTGCAGATGATAGTTATCCCCATCAGTATCCTTTGCAACAAGTTCGGACGTTGCATTCTGCGTAACGGTGTCTGATCGGACATGGTCGAGACGTTGAAATGATGGCCCGAAGTTGAGACCGGACATGGCCATAGAATGGTAGCAACGGCGCGTATCAATTTTGCGCACAAGAGGAGATTTCTTGTCTAAATCTTCAAGATGTTCGCTAAACGATCTAGCCTCACCCGAGCAGTGCTTGGTCCAACTTGTTCCGTTGTGAGAGGCGATGGTAAACTCCCACCACTCGCTATCGAGGGAATCAGTCAATCTATGGCGATGCAATGTTGTTATGATCTCAACTGGTGGGCCCTCATTCAAGACGAGAGCAGTGCTAACAATGACATTGCGTAGTTTGAATGCTTCGCTGACTCCGGTTAGCTGTCTCACAGCCTCTCCAATCATCGCAGCATAGCCAGCGAAGGGGAAGACAACATCATCGCCGACCTTGTGGTCACGGATCCACGGGGCATTGTCCAAGTGGAACAGATTTCGGAAAAGCGCATGGAAGTCTGGACTCTCTGTTACCTGGACACCCAAAAGGTCGTGACACCTGTGCTCGCGATGTCTCCACTCCTTGCTCAACCGAGATTCATGCCAGAATCTTTTTGAATGATCCCATGGATACCTTGGAAGGTCTGGGAGAGTAGATCCTTCACTAATGACCTTTCCCAAATTGGGGATAGCATTGAGAACGTGAAGCTGCCCAACAGCAGTCAGGAAGGATTCTATACTGTCCTGGTTGCGGACAAATGCAGAGACGTAAGGAGAAGAAGTGGAATGATGACTCTGGATCTGTCGCAAGGGGCCCGCAAGAGCGGAGTGTGGCCCAATCTCAAGAAGCACCATGTTCTTCGAAATCGGGTGCTGGATTATAGATGAGACTGCTGAATGGAAGAGTACTGGGGACTGTAGGTTCATCTGCCAGTATTTGGGGCCGAAATTCAGGGCTTCGGCAAGTATTTTGTTCTCGACACTGCTGAAGAACAACTTATTTGGATCCTTGGCGGATACTTCATGTTCAATCAAAGCATAGTACTCGTCGCCTATCTCGGCCATGTGATGAGAGTGGTACGCCTTGTCGACTTTCAACTGTCTTGCCAAGACATCGGGGTGGGCCTTGTTGATATTGGCAACCGAATTCCCAATGGCATGGGTATCACCGGCGAGAGTAACACTCTTGGGGGAGTTTTCGCAAGCAATGATGACACCATCCTGTAGATATTCCTGGACTTCCTCAGTGCCCATACCTATAGCCGCCATGGCCCCGAGTTTGGTTTGTAGCTTGGTGACCTGACCTCGATAAAACGCAATCGTAATTGCTTCGTTGGCCGTGATGGCACCGGCAGCGTATGCAGCAGCTACTTCGCCACTAGAGTGGCCCACAACAGCAGCAGGCTGAATCCCAACGGAAGCAAAAGTGTCAATCAGAGCCACTTGGATTGCTGTGCAAAGGGGTTGGGATAACTCGGATGATCCAAGCCTGCTAGCATCTGAGGGCTTCAAGAGCTCTTCTTCAATACTCCATTCTGGCCCATCTTTGAGGGTTTTCAAATGTGAGTCAAGATCTTGAATGCTCTTCTTAAATGCGGGATAGACCGCGTTGTGAATCATAGAACCACCCATTTGTGGCCACTGAGCACCCTGGCCAGTGAAGACCATAACAATATTTGGTACCTCGCCAGTTTTTGAGGGGGCCGAAGTCGTGAGCAAACCCAATGGGTTATTCACGGAGAATGCCCGATGAGGTAGATGCTCCCTTTTATTACACAGAGTGAATGCCAAATCGGCAACTCTGGTTGGGTTCTTCTGGACATAGGCTGTATATTGGGAAATCATCTGTTTTAGTGACTCGGCATTGTTTGCTGAATAAACAAGCAGCTGCGGTGAAATGGTATGCTGAGGGAGAACGGGGGAGATGCCAAAGCTCTGAGCTGAATCGAGAACCACGTGGGCGTTCGTGCCTCCAATGCCGAAAGAGTTGACACTGATTCGCTCGCTACGAGCCTCAGGCCAAGGCATCGGTTCTGTGGGAACAGTGAGACCATATTCATCCCACTGGATATTGGGATTGGGCTCCTTGAACTTGATATTTGGAGGGATGATGTGATTTTCCAGGGCTAGGACCGACTTGATCAGAGATGTAATCCCGGAGGCTCCCTCGGAGTGACCAAGATTTGGCTTCACGGACCCAATGAGGACGCCACCAGAAGGACCAAAAACCCGGCCCACTGCTCGTGTTTCAATGGGATCTCCAACTTGGGTGCCAGTGCCATGACACTCGACAAATGCGGTCTGGGAGTAATCTGCGATGCCTGCTACCTCATATGCGCGCCGGATCATGGCCTCGTGCGAAATATCATTAGGAACATGAGTGCCAATTCCAGCACCCCTTCCGTCACTGTTAGATGCCGTCGAACGGATAACCGCTCGAACTGGATTTCCATCCCGGATGGCATCATCCAGAGGTTTAATGAAGATGGCAGAGATTCCTTCTCCGCGCGCATAGCCATTCGCATCAGCGGAGAAGCTCTTACAGGATCCATCAGGCGAAATTACGCCTTGCTCACTCATGGCAGTTGTCATGCCTGGTGCCATAATCAAATTGGCACCGCCAACTATGGCTCCCTCGCAATCGCCTCTGGAAATTGCCAGACATGCTTCGTGTAGTGCAACAAGACCTGCTGAGCAGCCAGTACGTACTACCATGCTTTATTTTTTTTCGGCTCTCTTAGCAACTTGCATTCTATTCCGAAGGAAAAAGAAATATGGATCAACTAACCTCGGTCCCGTCAAGTCCATCTCATATGAGACTCGGTTGGGCAACATGAAATCTCCATATCCGCTCACTCGATGCTGGCCATATTGCTGGGTTTCTTTCACACAAATTTCAAGCCAATCTTCACCAAAGCTACCCATGTAACAACCAATCGGTCGTCCTTTCCAGTTCGTTTCGCCAGCATCTTCCATACACTCCCGGGCAACTTCTAGCATCTGCCGTTGCTGTGGGTCCATGCGCTCCACCTCCAATTTTCCCATTGTGAAGAAGGATGTATCCACAGAAGCAATGTCAATACTTTCATCCAGAAAGTATCCATATTCGGTCTTGATGCTGCCTGGTTTCTGCGTCTCGGAGTAGTATGTGGAGGCATTATATCTGGACTTTGGCACTTGGCCACGGGCATCTCCTTTCGCAACCAAGAAGTCCCATAGCTGTTGGGGTGTGTGTAAGCCTCCAGGGAGACGTACAGACATTCCACAAATCGCGATAGGCGCTGGGGGAATCAGCTTTGGTTTAATTGACTCGGGGGTCATTGCTGCACTTGTTCTTGTTTTGCAATGTGAAGGGGGCTTTGACCTCGCGGGATTAGGGAACAAGAGTGCGAACAACAGACAATTATAAATGGCTAAAACGGCCTGCAAAAGTTCGAGAAATAGCCGTTAGCCCCCCATCTGAACCCCACCCAGTCTTGGTCCTAGTTCCAATCATGCAATCATGAGGCCAACTTGTTGCGTTGTTCTAGCCTGAAGATTTCTCGTATCAGGACCTCGGCGGTCCTTTAGTCCCCACATGTGCAGACTATTGTCATAAAGTTCACCGTGCTCACTAGTGTTAGGTACACTTGATAATGTCTCATTGGATCCTTAGCACTAAAATAGGTATACCGTAAAGTCAATAGACAACAGACTTTATTTCCTATTTTAATCATCCAGTACAAAGTAGATAACCACCCTATAGACCTATGGACGTCAGCCGGTAAGCTTATGCCGTAACGCAAATTGGATTCATTCTCATCTTTAGGCCCAATAAAACCATTCCACCTGTTTTGCCTTCAGCGCAAAGTGTGCGTTGTCTCCAGTAACCTGGGCCCGCTGATTGCTGGTCTCTTGAACTATTCTTCCCACTTAATATATAATCTGCGCCATTCTGCGTTCAGTGGGGAAACGATATTTATCCTCGGGGCTAATTTAGTAGCACTTAAAATATACTCTACGTAATGGTTGATTTGATTTGAACTCCCAATGCAGATTTTTACATATAGATCAATCAAGCAGAGAGGAGCTTCTGGAGGACATTGTATATAATATGCAGAAAAGAACCGTTGCACGATTAAATTTAGGTTTGCATGATATTGTGACGTGTCCAATATAAATGAACTAACTACAGTTAGTTATAGCGTTATAGCGGAGCACATGTGCCGGTATCTCTAGGCAACTTGTCCCGCTTTCTGCAGCTAGTCTCGCATCCGGCACTTGAACACTTTTGACACATTCTGACAGGACTTTCATATCTGGCCCGAGGCACCAATGGGTTATTTCCAAGGTTGCACTATATTATATATTCTATATTAAAGATATCCCAGGAAGTGATGGCAAATATGATTATATCAAGTTGAAATTTTGATGTTGATGACGTTGAGGGTGATGGGATTAATGAGGTTGATAGGTCCAGCGCGGTGAACGGTGAGTCGCGTTGATTAGCGCGTGTTATACAACATCCCGCCCTCACGAACTCCTCCAAACCCCAACATTCCTTGGCCTACCTCCAAAAGTCCGCTGAATGGGTCGATCTTTTCCTCGACTGCTGCAGGGTCTGTCTATCCGTGTCAATTCCTTGGAAGCTACTCAACAGGGTCGACATACGTCATTGAGTATCCCTGAATTCGTGCCCGTGGCGAGAACCAGATCACTCGCCCCAATCCATAATGCCCATCATGCGGCTCACTGCGCTCTCCGCTTCTCGTCCTTCCCGTCTAAAATTGTTGCGCATCCCCTTAACATAGCGAGGTCTACATCATCACGTGCATATTCACAAGGTCCTGGCCGAAAATCCAGCGCTCGGGATCTAGAAGACATGGTCAGGGCGACTGAGACGCCTGGGCCTGAGGCGAAGCCGGCGGATATCCTTAATGGAGATATACCCTTACCTGCTGGTCAGGCAGAGGCTGCATTGGACCCAGAGTCAGATGAGGACATCCCTGTTGATGTGGAAGAGCTAAAAGAGGCACTCGGCCGACCACCTCCGGTGAATAGTAGTTACCTTCCTCTTCCCTGGAAAGGCCGATTAGGATATGTGAGTTGCGCTGTGTTGAACACGATATTACTCTCATCGGTGACCCTAGATTCTGACCTGAACAGGCTTGTCTAAACACGTACCTTCGCTATTCAACCCCTTCCGTATTCTGTTCTCGAACATGTCGAATCGCCTCTATACTCGAAAATCGGCACCCACTCCAAGATCCCAATGAGCCCACACACCCGATTAAGAATCGTCCAGACCGCGACCAACCAGCCGATATTGCACGCGGACAAGCCTTCGTTGAAGGGTTGGCATTGGCGAATGTGCGAGATTTGGTGAAAATTATTCGGTGGAACGACAAATATGGCATTAAGTTCATGCGACTCAGCAGTGAGATGTTCCCATTTGCCAGTCACAAAGAATATGGCTATAAGCTGGCGCCGTTCGCCTCGGAGGCGCTGGCAGATGTAGGGCATGTGGTTGCAGAACTTGGACACCGAGTGTCGGTTCACCCTGGCCAATTCACTCAATTTGGATCACCGAGGAAAGAAGTCATCGAAAACTCCGTTCGCGATCTTGAGTATCACTCGGAGATGCTCCAGCTACTCAAACTCCCCCACAACAGGACCGCGACGCGGTCATGATCCTTCATATGGGTGGAGTGTTTGGTGATAAGGCCGCCACACTAGATCGGTTCCGAGCGAACTATGCTATGTTGTCACAGGACATCAAAAACCGGTTGGTTTTGGAGAATGACGACGTGAGCTGGTCTGTTCATGATCTACTGCCTATTTGTGAGGAGCTCAACATCCCTCTTGTTCTCGACTATCACCACCATAATATCATTTTTGACGCCAATGAGGTCCGAGAAGGAACCGAGGACATAATCCCTCTCTACGAGCGTATATCAGCAACATGGTCCCGGAAGAATATCACTCAAAAGATGCATTACTCCGAACAAACTTCACCTGCCATCACCCCACGCCAACGGCGCAAACACAGTTCTCGAGTTACTACTTTGCCCCCTTGTCCGCCTACCATGGACTTGATGATTGAGGCCAAGGACAAAGAACAAGCCGTATTTGAGTTGATGAGAAACTTCAAACTCCCCGGCTACAATCTTGTGAACGAAATTATACCCTTCATGCGCCTTGACGAAAACCAACCATTCAAACCACCCAAAAAATCCAAGAAGAACGGGGGCTTCGTGGACCTCGAAGGCTCAATACCACCGCCTCGCACCATCCCAGACGAAGAAGTCGGAATGGGTGGACCGGATGGTCGAGTCTACTGGCCCGAGGGCATGGAAGAATGGCTCCGACCGGCAAAGAAAATCGTGAAGCCTAAAGCTACACCAAGTCCCAAGAAAAACGCCACCAAAAAGGGCAAGATTGAGTCTATCGCAGGCGATGCTCCCCTAGATACACCCATCAAGATAGAAACGCCAGTAAAGAAACCCGCCCGGGCCACGAAACGCACGCCTCCTATGAGCAGGTCTCGGAAGCGCAAGGCTCCAGTGATTGAGTCCACCTCAGAGTCTGAAGAGACTACAAACACAGAAGAGATTTCAGCGGAACTCGATAGTTCTCCGGCTTCGATGTTACTTTCTCGACGAAGTTCACGTGCGAAGAAAGTGAACTACACCGAGGACAGTGCATAATTGGCGCTTGGTAGCTCTTGTGTATTAATATACCATTCCTTTTATCAGATCTCAAAGAGCGAGAGGTTTTATGGCTAGATTATAGATCAAAAATATATTCCATCGATGCAAAGCACTTTCTGCTTCTGCCTCCATATAGGCTCATATTTACGCATAAGCTGCCCCTCTAATCCGTACAACCAGCAGGATAAATGCTTAATGATTTGGTAGATGATTATTCCTGGTAGTTTAAACACAAAAAAAAAGGAACAAAAGTAGTATACTTCAATATAATACCAGAATGTTCGGTCGCAACGCGGTGAGAGCATCCGAATAATCATCGTCATGGTCGATCTCTTCCCCGCAGCGAATCAACTTTCTACAGCCTTGCTCCATACTCAACTAGGCTTTTTTTGCTCTCGGAATACTCTTACCCAGATCGTACATCATACCACACGAGATCCTGGCGCCCAAATCACGTTTCCGTTGGCCAATCCTCCGGTCGAGGATCTCCCTCTTCAGACGCCCGCCTACCACCCTTTTCCCTTCCTTCCCCCGCGAACCTCGACCAAGTAGGCTCTCACGTATACTTCGTTTGATCATTGGCGCACACGGAACCAGACGAGCTCAAACCCGTCTCTGGGGCATCCGGCACGAAACCCTGCCCGCACTCCGACACCGGGCCCAATCGCGAGTCTACCGAGCGATTGTCCAGCGACAAGCGCGACTCGCTACACGCGATAGCAGACTTGGCGGACGACTTGTGACTTATCTTCTCGGAACCCGGCGACAGTCAAGGCCGTGGAAATCTACTACAGTAGCCGGTAACAAGCCAGCTACAAGATACCCGAAGTCGATCCGAGAGCCCCGCCACGGACCGAAGGACAAAACCATAGACTCGATGTCGCAATCTGGACTTTCATCGACATGGGGGCCAGGTAGCGGTGATGGCGCTTCTGCCCCTGGTAGCCGCCGGAAGAAGGTCTACGAATATTTCAAAGCGGCCAATGAGCTACGCCAAACCTATACCTCACAATGGTCGGGACAGAGGAATGAACACGATGAGGACTACTACAATACCCCAGGCGCATTCCCAGATGTCGAAATTGCACGGTCAGGCGATGAGGAGATGGTGGTCTTCCCCAGTTATGCCAGGAAATTGGCAGAGAAGAAGAATACCGGTACCAGCACCCGTCCGCGACGTGACTCGTGGTCGGAAACTATCGATGATTACCGGGGTGTAACGCATGAGGATGACGGTCTTTCATCGCCTAATTGGGATGCATCGGAGACTGAAGATGCAGTCGTGGCTGTTGATGTGCGTGGCTGGATCTATTCTCCTGGTCGGGGACCGATGAGCCGAAAGCACCGGTTGATGATTGCTCTGGCCAGGAAGCTGAGCGGGATCTCTGCACCAACTGGAACTGCAAATGATGAAAACAACGACAAGAATTCTGGGAAGGGAGATGATGAATACATCGACAAGGAAATCCAAACATTAGTCGCTAATGCTGAGAAGGAAGCGGACCCGGCTTGGAAAGGCTCGAACGCGGAGCAGACACACCAACCTACTGCACCAATGAGTAAAGATGAATTATCTATAGCGAATGCGCACCTGATGGAAAGACTTCGTCCGTTCTTGACCAATCCCGTTGGCAGCATGCCAGTGACAGTGTTCTTTTTCAACGACGATGAAAGCAAGTCTCGAAATATCTTGACGGATGAATCAGGCCATTTTACTCTTCGCGCTACACTACCTTTCGTTCCAACGCATATTCGTGTCTTGGCATCCGAGGACCTGTCTGTTGCCAGGCCGATTGAGGTCATTGATCCGGTTGGAATCAGTTTGATCAGTGACATCGATGATACAGTCAAGCACTCAGCCATTGCCAGCGGAGCGAAAGAGATGTTCCGCAACACCTTTGTCCGGGAATTAAATGAACTTACAGTCGAAGGAGTCAGCGACTGGTACTGCAAACTGGCCAATGAGGGTGTGCAAATTCACTATGTGTCGAATGCTCCCTGGCAGTTGTACCCTTTGCTTGAGCGGTACTTCAAAATGGTGGGACTACCTCCGGGCTCCTTCCATCTCAAACAGTACTCGGGCATGCTTCAAGGAATCTTTGAGCCCACCGCAGAGAGGAAACGGGGTTCATTAGAACAAATCCTGCGCGACTTCCCGGAACGCAAATTCATCCTTGTCGGTGACAGTGGTGAAGCTGACCTAGAGGTTTACACTGAAATTGTGTTGGCAAATCCTGGCCAGATCCTGGGCATCTTCATTCGTGATGTTACGACCTCAGAAACCCAGAAGTTCTTCGACAAATCCGTGGGTCATCTTGACCAGTCTAAACGCAGTCACAGTTCACCAAATGTCGTGGACCACTCGGATGCCGCCTCCAACAGACCGACACTGCCGCCTCGTGGTGGCACGACTGTTGACTCTACGGTGCCCGTAGCCCATCATGAACCAGATCCAAAGGACCTTGACCTGGAAGACCTGATTGATCTCACAGATCTTATCATCGGCGATCAGCCACCTCCAGCGGGGCTTACACACCCTGCAACTCCACGACCACGTCCAGCAAAACCAATCAAACCATCTGCACTGCGCATGGTTTCCACGCCAGCTGATTTGGCGAAGAGTTCCAGACCATCCTCTCTGCGCAACGTTGCTACACCTTCCACTGGGCCAGAAAAAGAACCCAAACCGGCGGCAGCGCAAGAGGCCCCCAAGCGCAAACCAGTCCCGCCTGTGCCACCCAGACGTGGAGTTCCCAAGACAGATTCACTGATTGATCTGGATCCCTCACCTTCAACCCCTCAGAGCAGCGCTGAGACACCAACGAATGAAGTTCCTTCTTCGTTGCTCAAAGGCCTCGATGATGGTTCTGCAGGTGTTCAGAATCAATCGCAAGCTACACGCACCAAGCCACCACCGCCTCGCCCCCCTCCACGTCGCACAAACACTGGGTCATCAACAACCAGTTCAGACCCCAGTGTATCAACTACATCAACCACGCCGGCTCGGACTCCGGCTCCTGCGGGTGGCATTCAATCATACCCAGCGGCAGCCGCCCAGGCCGCATACCAGGGGTTCCAGTATGCAAGCGACCGGCTCAACTTATCGGGATCCGCCTCTGGGCCACGAAATTCCTCGTCCAACCAGTCACTTAGGAGAGTAGGGTCCAATGAGTCGGGGTTGCCGCCTGCGCCTCTCCCAAATAAGCGCGAAGAGCTTTGGAGACGTCGTTGGGATCGCGCGAGCGAAGTGCTTGAACAGCACGGTGTTGTGCTAGGCAGTTGGCGGGTTGGAAAAGATGCGCAGCCTGTTTGTGCATGGTTAATGGAGCAGGCAATGAAGGATATCAAGGCTGGTCGTTCGAAAGGAGATTATTAACGGCTTGTAAACATAGGAAATGTCAATACGTGCTCATGAATACACTCCCAATTGATTTGAGATATATATATTTTAGAAACACATTTGGTCCAACCACTATGATAGCCTCTGATGCATTGAAAGAGGCCTTTTCCTATTTGATTTTTCTCAGCCTCAAATGATATACATTGTATTTACGGAGTAGTAATGCTATGTTATGTTCCTCCGTTTAGGACTAGTTGAAGCTAAAACTGACACGTACCGATGACACCGGCAGGTGGGCAAGTCCACACAGGTGGGTCGTGCGAGTTATAAACGCCCTTGGTGATTTCAATTCAACAGCCTGCTATTGGCGAAAACATTTAATTATACATCGTATAGGGCCGACTAGTAATCGGAAGCTGATCCCGAGGTCCTCGTTGGTAGACTGTTGGGGTTGTAGCCAAGAGAACCGACGACGCTGACATCACATTTCTCGGGCCTCGGCTCAATTTGAAACAACAGTTGCATGATTGGCGACTTATAATCTGGGGTATTTGCTTGTAGCCCACCTTTCTTCTCCCCCTTCATTCATACCCAAATATGCCATCAGAAACTCTCACACGTGCGGAGATCGCAAAGCATAACACCGAGGATTCCCTCTGGTGCATCATCGACCACCAAGTCTATGATCTAACTGATTTTGCCGACGCCCACCCCGGTGGTGCCGTCGTGCTTGCTCAAGTTGCTGGCCAGGACGCAACATCCGATTTCTACAACCTGCACCGCCAGGAAGTGCTGGAGAAATACCGTGACCAGCTTTGCATCGGTGTTGTTGAAGGCGAAAAACCCGAGGTCATCGTGCCTGTCCCAGGAGCTTTGAGCCCCGTGCCCTATGCAGAACCCCTATGGCTACGACCCCAATTTAAGTCCCCTTACTACAAGGAGACCCACCGACGCCTGCAGAAGGCCATCCGAGTGTTCACAGATAAATATGTGACGCCCGAGGCGCAAGAGAAAGAGCAGGATGGCACCTACATCAGCCAAGAGCTAATCAACCGCATGGCCGAGACGAACATTCTGGCTATGCGTCTGGGTCCCGGAAAGCATCTGCACAACCGTACCTTGCTTGGTGGGGTTGTGGATGGAAAGGAGTTTGATTATCTCCACGATATGATTATAGTACAGGAGTTAGTCCGTGCCAATGCCCGAGGCTTCCAGGATGGCAATATGGCCGGTATGGCTATTAGTTTGACAGCTGTCCAACAATGGTTGCATGATCCTGTACTCAAGGAGCGCCTCAATGATGAGGTCTTGTCGGGTCAGAAGAAGATGTGTTTGGCTATCACCGAGGCCTTTGCTGGTAGCGATGTGGCGGGCCTGAAGACCACTGCAGAGAAGACTCCTGATGGGAAACATTATATTGTCAATGGAACAAAGTCAGTCGCGTCACAATTGTTGGTTGAGTTAAGGGATTTGCGCTAACATGGCATAGGAAATGGATCACGAATGGCATGTTTGCGGATTACTTTGTAACTGGCTGCCGTACCGAGAAGGGCTTCTCGGTGCTCTTGATTCCTCGAGGTGAGGGTGTGGAGACCAAGCAAATCAAGACTTCATATTCAACTGCCGCTGCCACTGCTTTCGTGCAGTTCGAGAATGT